CCGGATACCATCAAAAAGTGCCTGATATCGTGTTGGATGATAGGCGAGTGAGATGACTGAGGCTGTGCAGATATCGGAAGAAAGGGTGAGAAGCATCTTGCAAGAAAAATTAGGGATGCGAATTCTCTGCGCAAGATGGTGCCGCATTTGTTGAATGCCGGCCAAAAGCAAATGCGCAAACGATTTTCACAGCAATCTTTGAACCAATTCGATAGAGATCCTACCGATTTTGTGCATCGAATTGTCACCATGGATGAGACATGGGTCCACCACAAAACAACAGTCCAAGAAGTGGGTGGAAGTAGGTGGTTCAGCGCCAAAGAAAGAGAAATCGGTCGGAAAGGTTGTGTTTACGGATGCGAAAGGGATCCTGATTATTTATTACCTTGCAACAGGCAAAAGAATTACAGGCGAATATTACTTCAACCTTCTTGACCAGCTGGATGCCAAAAGTCGCGAGAAGAGCCCTGGATTGAGGAAGAAAAAGTCATATTTCACCAGGGCAACGTAACTGTGCACAAGGGTGCGTCGAAGATGGGAATTGTGGTACGATTTGCTCGGCCATTCCCCTATTCTCCTGATATGGCACCCTCAAACTTTCATTTGTTCCCAAACCTGAAGAAGTTGGTTTCCAGGAAGCGCTTCGCATCCAATTGAGAGGACCGTAGATGAATATTTTCACAACCTTCCAGACTCTCACTTCCGAGAAGGAATACTGATGTTGGAGAAACGGTGGATGTTGGTTGGGGAACCGTGGACCAAGTGTGTTGAAGTCAAGGGACAGATCTGTTGTTGGGGAACCGTTGGATCAAGTGTGATGAAGTCAAGGGACAGATCTGATGTTGGTCTGATGAGAAACGTTGGACCAAGTGTGTTGAAGTCAAGGGACAGATCTGATATTGGGGAACGTTGGATCAAGTGTGTTAAAGTCAAGGGACAGATCTGATGTTGGGAAACGTTGGATCTGATGTTGAAAACATTGTTGAGAACTAAGTGTGTTGAAGTCAAGAGACAGATCTGATGGTTGTTGGGGAAACGTTGGATCAAGTGTGTGGAAGTCAAGGGAAAGGTCTGATGTTGGAGAAACGTTGGACCAAGTGTGTTGAAGTCAAGGGACAGATCTGATGTTGGTCTGAGAGAAACGTTGGATCAAGTGTGAAGTCAAGAGACAGATCTGAAACGTTGGATCAAGTGTGTTGAAGTCAAGGACAGATCTGATGTTTGGGAAACGTTGGATCAAGTGTGTTGAAGTTAAGGGACAGATCTGATGTTGGAGAAACGTTGGACCAAGTGTGTTGAAGTCAAGGGACAGATCTGATGTTGGGAAATGTTGGATCAAGTGTGTTGAAGTCAAGGGAAAGATCAGATGTTGGAGAAACGTTGGATCAAGTGTGTTGAAGTCAAGGGACAGATCTGATGTTGGGGAAACGTTGAATGTTGAAGTCAAGGGAAAGCAAGTGTGTTGAAGTCATGGGAAAGATCGGATATTGGAGAAACGTTGGATCAAGTGTGTTGAAGTCAAGGGACAGATCTGATGTTGGAGAAACGTTGGACCAAGTGTGTTGAAGTCAAGGGACAGATCTGATGTTGGGAAACGTTGGATCAAGTGTGTTGAAGTCAAGGGAAAGATCTGATGTTGGGGGAAACGTTGGATCAAATGTGTTGAAGTCAAGGGACAGATCTGATGTTGGGAAACGTTGGATCAAGTGTGTTGAAGTCAAGTGACAGATCTGGTGTTGGTCTGATGTTGGAGAAACGTTGGACCAAGTGTGTTGAAGTCAAGGGACAGATCTGATGTTGGAGAACGTTGGATCAAGTGTGTTGAAGTCAAGGGACATATCTGATGTTGGAGAAACGGTGGACTAAGTTTGTTGAAGTCAAGGGACAGACCTGATGTTGCGGAAACGTTGGATCAAGTGTGTTGAAGTCAAGGGACAGATCTGATGTTTGGGAAACGTTGGATCAAGTGTGTTGAAGTCAATTGACAGATCTGATGTAGGGGAAACGTTGAATGTTGAAGTCAAGGGAAAGCAAGTGTGTTGAAGTCAAGGGAAAGATCGGATATTGGAGAAACGTTGGATCAAGTGTGTTGAAGTCAAGGGACAGATCTGATGTTTGGGAAACGTTGGATCAAGTGTGTTGAAGTCAATTGACAGATCTGATGTTGGGGAAACGTTGAATGTTGAAGTCAAGGGAAAGCAAGTGTGTTGAAGTCAAGGGAAAGATCGGATATTGGAGAAACGTTGGATCAAGTGTGTTGAAGTCAAGGGAAAGATCTGATGTTGGAGAAACGTTGGATCAAGTGTGTTGAAGTCAAGGGACAGATCTGATGTTGGGGAAACGTTGGATCAAGTGTGTTGAAGTCAAGGGACAGATCTGATGTTGGGAAACGTTGGATCAAGTGTGTTGAAGTCAAGGGAAAGATCAGATGTTGGAGAAACGTTGGATCAAGTGTGTTGAAGTCAAGGGACAGATCTGATGTTGGGGAAACGTTGAATGTTGAAGTCAAGGGAAAGCAAGTGTGTTGAAGTCAAGGGAAAGATCTGATGTTGGAGAAACGTTGGATCAAGTGTGTTGAAGTCAAGGGACAGATCTGATATTGGAGAAACGTTGGACCAAGTGTGTTGAAGTCAAGGGACAGATCTGATGTTGGGAAACGTTGGATCAAGTGTGTTGAAGTCAAGGGAAAGATCAGATGTTGGGAAACGTTGGATCAAGTGTGTTGAAGTCAAGGGACAGATCTGATGTTGGGGAAACGTTGGATCAAGTGTGTTGAAGTCAAGTGACAGATCTGGTGTTGGTCTGATGTTGGAGAAACGTTGGACCAAGTGTGTTGAAGTCAAGGGACAGATCTGATGTTGGAGAACGTTGGATCAAGTGTGTTGAAGTCAAGGGACAGATCTGATGTTGGGGAAACGTTGGATCAAGTGTGTTGAAGTCAAGTGACAGATCTGGTGTTGGTCTGATGTTGGAGAACGTTGGATCAAGTGTGTTGAAGTCAAACAGGGACATATCTGATGTTGGAGAAACGGTGGACTAAGTTTGTTGAAGTCAAGGGACAGATCTGATGTTGCGGGAAACGTTGGATCAAGTGTGTTGAAGTCAAGGGACAGATCTGATGTTTGGGAAACGTTGGATCAAGTGTGTTGAAGTCAATTGACAGATCTGATGTTGGGGAAACGTTGAATGTTGAAGTCAAGGGAAAGCAAGTGTGTTGAAGTCAAGGGAAAGATCGGATATTGGAGAAACGGTGGACCAAGTTTGTTGAAGTCAAGGGACAGATCTGATGTTGCGGAAACGTTGGATCAAGTGTGTTGAAGTCAAGGGACAGATCTGATGTTTGGGAAACGTTGGATCAAGTGTGTTGAAGTCAATTGACAGATCTGATGTTGGGGAAACGTTGAATGTTGAAGTCAAGGGAAAGCAAGTGTGTTGAAGTCAAGGGAAAGATCGGATATTGGAGAAACGTTGGATCAAGTGTGTTGAAGTCAAGGAAAAGATCAGATGTTGGAGAAACGTTGGATCAAGTGTGTTGAAGTCAAGGGACAGATCTGATGTTGGGAACGTTGGATCAAGTGTGTTGAAGTCAAGGGACAGATCTGATGTTGGGGAAACTTTGGATCAAGTGTGTTGAAGTCAAGGGACAGATCTGATGTTGGGGAAACGTTGGATCAAGTGTGTTGAAGTCAAGGGACAGATCTGGGGTTGGTCTGATGTTGGAGAAACGTTGGACCAAGTGTGTTGAAGTCAAGGGACAGATCTGATGTTGGAGAACGTTGGATCAAGTGTGTTGAAGTCAAGGGACATATCTGATGTTGGAGAAACGGTGGACCAAGTTTGTTGAAGATCTGATGTTGGAGAAACGTCAAGGGACAGATCTGATGTTGGAGAAACGTTGGATCAAGTGTGTTGAAGTCAAGGGAAAGATCGGATGTTGGTCTGATGTTGGATAAACGTTGGACCAAGTGTGTTGAAGTCGACGGAGATTGTGTAGAAAACTAATATCAATTTTTGAACTGAAATTCGCAGTCTTTCATTGTCGGGCCGAAAACTTTTTCACCTTACCCTCGTAAAGTCAACCACAAAGAAGACGGGTGCTCAGATCTACCTCCCCGCGGTGCACCCCTGGTAACACTTTTTAGTGGCTAAAAGATCTGCAACTTGGCATTATTGTTAGATTAATGAACTCTATTTCAGCATGTTTTGTTGTATTATTTTGTTGTTGTTGTATGTTTTTTTTTTTTAGTTGTTCTTTTTTTGTGGTAACTGTTCATAATCTGCCATTGGAAATAAAAAAATCCCAAAGAAGAAAAAGCAGAAAAGATAAATATTTTTTTATTCATTACATCTCTCAAATGCATTACACGCGTAAGTGTCTACTTGGAAAGAGTACTTAAGTGTCTCTCTGGAGTGCATCAGTGTAAGAACTTCTCACTTCCCCTGCCGGGCCTTCACTATGAACCTCCCGGGCCATGGCCTGTATCTTGATGATCTTCTTCACGTGCGTCTCGTACAGCCGCGAGAGGTACTCCTCCGTGTGGTACTTGAGGAACACCTGCAGGAGAGAGAGGGGCACTCAGAAATAACAGTAAATTGAACACAATTGTACAAAAATGTATACCAGAAATAAAAATATCTATAATAACTAAAAATCTAATCTACAAATATTTGATATCTATGTATCAAATTTAAAAAATGCTTAAATTGTTTATGTATGATATTTTGAATGATGATCCAATGTATGATATTTTGAACTGTTTTGAATGTATGATATTACGAACACGTTTTCGTCTGATGTCTACTGCATCAATTTGATATCTACTACCGATCATTTCAATCTAATATCTACTACATCAATTTGATATCTACTACTGATAATTGGAATACTGTTTTGATTTAATCGGAAAATATTCCATACTTTTTAGCTGCTTGGTAACATTTTCGTCCTTATGGCGACACGTTTTAATGTAATGGAAATTTTTCCTTTCGGCCTAATTTAATCAAACCTCCAACTTTCGTTCTTGATTAATGGAAACATTCTTGGCAAATGCTTTCCAAGAATTTCACCTCTAGCGTTGCAATACGAACCTCTGACCCCTTTGATCATTACCTCGTGTTCCGAAGACCAACAAAATAGAACCTATTCCATTATTCCATTATTCCATGCACCATTATTCGGCGTCACGCCTGCTTTGAGAACTTTAATTTTTCAAAGTAAACTTGTCGGACAACCGGTGAAGATCATCAGGGGAACGCCGAGCACAGACAGTGACAACTTTAATATACGCTATTGGAGCTGGAATTACCGCGGCTGCTGGCACCAGACTTGCCCTCCAATTAATACTCGTTAAAGGATTTAAAGTGTACTAATTCCAATTATGGGGTCTCAAAAGAGTCCCGTATTGTTATTTTTCGTCACTACCTCCCGTTCCGGAGGGGGTAATTTGCGGGCCTGCTGCCTTCCTTGGATGTGGTAGCCGTTTCTCAGGCTCCCTCTTCGGAATCGAACCCTGATTCCCCGTCACCCGTTACGACCATGGTATGCGCAGAACCTACCATCGACAGTTGATAAGACAGACACTTGAAAGATACGTGGAGCCCCTGCGATCAACCCAAAGTTATACAGAGTCACCACAAAGAACGGACCCGGAGGCCCGATTGGTTTTGGTGTGATAAAAGAGCTCGTTCCCGAAGGTCGGAGCTCTGCTGCATGTATTAGCTCTAGAATTGCCACAATTATCCAAGTAGTGAGGTACGATCCAAGGAACCATAACTGATTTAAGGAAACATTCGCGTTTTCGACTTAAAGGCTCCTTCCCACCGAGGCGTAAAGCGTTGAAGATTCACGCTTCAGGCAAGAAAAATTTTTCGACCCCTTCACAGCGAAACGTCAGATATAGCATTGCGCCCAGTGAAGTTCCGCTTGGAGTTGAAAGTGGGCCGACTCGAAGCGGGGGATTTCAAACCGGTTTCAGGCGAACGTGGTGGGGCTTGTGATCGGTCAACGTTCACGCTTAAAGCCTTACGCCTCTGTGGGAAGGAGCCTTAACACGGCATGGACTTAGACATGCATGGCTTAATCTTTGAGATAAGCCTATGACTACTGGAAGGATCAACCAGGTAACTTCCTCGTTCTTTCGAACCTTCGAAGAAGTTCAATAGTTCGCACCTTTCGAATCCGAGAGGCGACCTCATGGTCGCGGGGAACCCATGTCAACGGTGGATCCTCTCTGTAAACAACGCTTCGAATCGAGATTCGACAGTGCTATTGGAGCTGGAATTACCGCGGCTGCTGGCACCAGGCTTGCTTCTTTTTTGGGGGAGGGGGATGGAGGAACCGAATTTGTCGGCGTATATTTGGAAATATTCAATAGTATAACTTAAAAATACTTTTTTTCCCGAACCTGATTTTTTTTTTTTGCTTAGCTCTTAAGAATTTTATCAGCGCGATTTTGGTTCGCACTCAGTTTTTCAGTTCTGATGCGAGCAGGTGATCAGGAAACTCCCAGTGTTAAGTGTCGTGCCAGATCGGCAAGAGTGAAACAGCATGGCTGCGAGTGGCTGTGGGTGCTACGTTGATAAAAGTGTTTGTTAACTTTACATTGCATGGATTATTATTGTGGCGTGTGAGTGTGGTTCATAAAATACAGTCCACTGTGTGCTTGAGGAGGGAGGAGCTTCTCACCTTGGAGGCGCCCATCTTCCACCCGTCCATCTTGATCCTGATGAGCAGCAGCTGGCAGTTCTCCTTGGTCAGCTCCACCTCCTCGTCGAAGTCGAACGCCAGGTGCTGGTACCTGAGCAGAGAAGAATGCTCAGCAAGACTTCTCAACTAGCACATTATCAGTAAGCATTTTTCAGTTATTGCGTTGTAGTTAGTATAAACATGATACATACATATATTAATGGCCATTAAAATTGCTACACCAGGAAGAAATACACTCGTGCAGACACTTATTGTCTTGAAAATGACCCCAATTCTTGACTCAGAGCTCGTGACGTGACTGCACGATCCATTAAGGCCATGAGGGTAACATGCATGTCTTCTCGGCTGCTAGTGATAGAGAGTCGTTGAGATTCAGCACGGCGTTCCGGATTACCGTCCTGAACACATCGATTTCATATTCAGTAAGGACAGGAGGCATCACAACAACTTTTCACCTGGCAAACAACGTTCAAATGAAATTTGTATATGAGAAATCGGCTGAACAGTTTCCTCATTTAAACCTATTGTAGGTGTCTGCTTTGTCTGAATGCGCTGAAGAGCTAATCATTTGCATATCGCAACAGCTTCTTCCTGTAGCAATTTTAATGACCCGCAGTGTATATATATATATATACTCAAGAGCCAAAACATTATGACCACCTGTCAATAACGAGTTGGCCCACCTTTGGCGCGCAACACAGCTTCAACCCGCCTTGGCATGGATGCCACAAGTCCTTGGTAGATGGCCGGAGACAGATTGTAAGCAACGGTCACGCAAATCCGAGATATTGTGAATTGGTGGTCTTTGAACTCTGAGCTGCCGTCCCAGGATATCCCAAATGTGTTCGATCGGATGGAGATCCGGTGAGTTAGGCGGCCAGGACATTAATTGGAATTCAGCATCATGTTCCTGGAACCACTCCAACACAATTTTAGCCTTGTGACAAGGGGCGTTGTCCTGTTGGAACATTCTATTTTCAGCTGGAAAACAGAGGCCATGTAAGGGTGCAACTGGTCCGCAATGATGTTCAGATACCCTGTAGCATTCGTGGTCTGCTCTACCACAACCACGGGTCCCAGAGACGCCCAAGAGAACGTCCCCCAGAGCATAATACCGCCACCACCGTCCTGTGTATGACCTACTGTACATTGAGGGAGCAACTGTTCGTCTGGAAGACGGCGTATCCTGAAATGGGCATCGGCGTGATGAACGACAAACCGTGATTCATCTGACCAGGCAACTCTCTCCCACAGATCCATGGACCAGTCATGATGTTCCCGGCCCAGCGCAGGTGCAGTTGGCGATGACGCTTGGTCAGCAAAGGCACACGAGTGGGACGTTTGATGCGTAGCCCCATATCTAACAGTGTTCGCTGAACAGTGTGCTCCGATACTATTCTACTTGGCCCTGCATTGTATCGGGCTGTCAGCTGATCCACTGTCTGTCTCCGGTTTTGCTTCACCATGCGAGACAGTCTCCGACGACCTTTTTCTTTGATAGCGTGTGGACGTCCAACACCATGTCGTCTACTGCTGGTTTCACCGTCATTCATCCACTTTGCATAAGTACTAACAACTGTAGATCGCGAACAACCCACGAGTCGTGCAGTTTCGGAAATACTTGTTCCTAGCCTTCAAGTTATTACAATCTGCCCTCTATCAAAGTCGCTTAGATCCACAGTCTTTCCCATCACACACAGAAGTAAGCGAAACAATGATTCTTCAGACTCTCCAGCAGCATTTAAATACCACTTCCACCTAATCACGTGCCTTCCACGTCATCCAGACGAGTTCATTGCAAAATGTAGGGGTGGTCATAATGTTTTGGCTCTTGAGTGTATATATATATCATCGCTCACAACATTCTATATACATATGAATTCGTTCCTAGATGTATTTTAAACCTGGATCCAGACATCTAGTGAGCAGAAATAATATATCCTGAGGGTGCGTATTCCTTGATAAAAGCTTAAGCTATACTTAAGGTATTCTAATTAATTTCTTTTTGGTTCTTAAATTTTTGTATATTTTTACAGATTTGACTGCATGTTTCACACTCTGTTTTTCAAAAATTTGGCTGTAATTCGATTACAGTAGAACCTCTGTAAGTCGAACTTCAAGGGAGACTCCAAATAATTCGACTTAGGAAGGATTTCGGCTTACGCGGATTTTGTAAGGAAATATTCGACTTGTAGACGTTTAGATTGTTTCTAACTTATTTTGAGTAAAATAAATAAACATTCAAGTTACAGAGGTAATAAACGTGTTTATTTGCAACTTAAAAGTTATAGTATGTACTACAATAAAAATCAAAATAATTCTGAAACAACCATAAAATTAAAAATATTATGTATTAAAAAAGTCAGTTATTATTATTTATTTTTCCTGCTTTAGACAATTCTATAGTTCTCTGTTTATAGCATTATCTAAGCTATAAAGAGCATGAAGCGATAGAAGAAATAAGGCTGAGCAAGACTTCTCAACAACTACCCATGCGACTGGAACATTATATCAGTAAGCATTTTTCAGTTATTGCGTTGTGTAGGTCTTTTTTTCATAGTTGGTATGAACATGACATATATATATATACATATCATCTCTTATATATATTGGGTTGGTGCCTAATTATCAGGCGTTTCTTTGACGTGCTTTATTTTAATAAAAATTTACAACATTTTATAAATTTATGAATGAAAATATCCTTCTACTTTTAAGTTATAAGAATAGGTGTCGATAATCATACTCGTATTCGTCATATTATGCTGTACCACTTTGAGAAAGGATGGAAAGTAGCGCAGTCATTTCTCGATCTCAACGAACTTTTCGGTGAGGGCACAATCAGCAGGGAATGTTTCAAATATGGCGACACTAGCTTGGAAGGCAAGCCAGGAAGAGGTCGACCCTCGGATTTCGACGACCAAGCACTTTTGGCAGCCGTGGAAGGGGACGAATGCTTGACAACTCTAATGCTGGGCAACAACTTCAATCTGGAACATTCATACATCTGTCATTGTATCAAAAAGTTCGGAAAGGTATAGATATTGGCTGAATGGTTCCCCCACGAACTCAGCGATTACAATAAAAGCCGAATGTGTCCGAAATTTCACCGATTTGCTTTAATGAAATCAGCGGAGGAAGGATCTTGTCGATGGGATCTCTTCAAAACCTCAAAAGAAAGAAGGTCTGAGTTTCGCCAGGAGCTTCACCAAAAGGAATAACGAAGGACGTGCACAGTGAGAAGGCAATGTGGTGTGTCTGGTGGGACAGAAGCGGAATTATACATTGGGTGATTAAACAGTGATTTGTTGTCGGTGGAACCCATCCCAAAAATGAGTATGAGTATGATTATCGACACGCATTTTTATAATCTAAAACTACAAGGATATTTTCATTCATACATTTGCAAAATATTGTAAATTTTAATTGAAAACACATTCAAAGAAATGCCTGATAATTATGCACCAACATAATACTTATAATGGTTATGGATTAGCTAATGTATTTATTTATATTATGTATTTATTTATAGTTGTTATAGAAGCCGGCTAATCTCTTATATGTGCTACCTCAAATATTGGCATTGATTTTTGAACAACGGCCTTTAACTGAAGATTCGGCTGTAATCCAATTACTAACATTTGGTTTAAAAGGCATAGTGGACAAATCTATTCAATCCTTTGAATGGGCCACAGAAAATGTTAATAACCAAAAGTAAGTGATAAAGTTATTAATTAAAATACAGTGCACTAATAGTAATTAGTAAACTTTGTTTCCATAAAATTTTTTTGTCCTTTGTTAATTTAGTAGTTTTTCCATTTTAAAAAATTGAGAGGGTGGTCTATGTAATAAAATGTTAACAAGTTATCAAAATAAAATATAAAATATTTATATTACTTATGTTATCAGAATAAAATATAAAACTATATATATATATATATATATATATATATATATATATCATCATCATCATCATTGGCTCAACAGCCCCATGGTGCGTCAAGGCCGTCTACCTACTGGCAGATTTCGAAACAAGAGATGTTTTCTATTTTACAAGATAGGGTTATATCGGATAGAAGAAGTATCAATAGTATTTCGACGTAATG